ATTCCTCTTCTGGGTATTTATCTGAAGAACGTGAAAACACTAATTCAAAAAGATATATGCACCCCAATGTTAATTGCAGCATTACTTACAATAGCCAGGATATGGAAGCAACCTTAGGTGTCCATTATTGGATGAATGGATAAAGAAGATATGATAATATTGGCCCAGCTGGCATGGCTCAGTGTTTGAGCGTTGGTCTGATCAGGACATATGCCCAGGTTGCAGGCCCAACCCCAGTGTGGGGAATGTAGAAGGCAGCCAATCGATGATTCTCTCTCATCACTGATGTTTCTCTCTCTCTCCCAGTCCCTTCCACTCCGAAATTAATAAAGAATATATATATTTTAAAAGATAAAATATTGTCATTTGTGTTTTGAATGGATATTAAGGGTACTATGCTAAGTGAAATAAGTCAGACAGACATGGATAAAAACTGTCTGATTTAACTCATGTAAAATATAAAACAAAAAGTAATAAATGAACAAATATAACAATATAAAAAAACAAATTCAAAGATATAGACAACAGAATAGTGGTTACAGAGGAGAAAGAGAGTGGAGAGAGGGCAAAGTAGGTAAATGGGGTTAAACAAATGGAAATAGATGGAAACTATGGAAACTAGACTTTTGGTTGTGAGCACCCAAAAGAGTATACAAACATCAAATTATACTACTGTACACCTGAAATTTAGATAATGTTATTAACCAATGTGACCTCAAGGAAAAAAAATAATTAAAAAAAACTCTTGTTTTACTAATCCTTCAACTTCTCAAATGTCTCAGGGCCCCTACAGAACCTCTTCTCTTTGTAGGAAACTCTTATTCCTACTGCTTTTTGTCTAATAAAACTGACTTATTTTTCAAGTGTCATCTTAAATGTGATTTTGCTGCAAAGTCTTCTGTGATATTCTGAACAAGATTTCTGGTAATATAACTTCCCAGATTGGCTCCCATGTCTAGTACAGGCACCAGATCTCAGTATTTCTAAATACTGTCCTACAATAAAATAAGCCAATTTTCCTTGGAGAAATCATTGATTTTAGGGCCGAGGCAGAGAAAAATACAAGAAGAGTGGAATATATTATGGTACCGGAAAATAAGGAAGTGCTCAAAAAGTGATGGGGCCATGTTGAAACACCAAGCAGCCAACCTGAAAAGCTCCTAATGCTCCAAACAGGGACACTTTGTGCAATAGAATAAGTAATGATAGAATTAGTTTGTATCACTTCTCTAGTCAATATCTTATAGTTTTCAGTGCACAGGACTTGCACCTCCTTGGTTAAATTTATCCCCAGGTGTTTTATTCCTTTTGATGCAATTGTAAATGGGACTGTTTCCCTAATTTCTCTTCCTGGTAGTCCATTGTTAGCATAAAGAAATGCAAGTGATTTTTGTATATTGATTCTATATCCTGCAACTATACTAAATTTATTTATTAATTCTAACATTTTGGGGGGTGGAGTATCTAGGGTTTCCTATATGAACAATCATGTCGTTTGCATTCTTTTTCTTGCTTAAATGTTCTCACTGGGACCTATAGTACTATGTTGAATAAAATGGTGAGAGTGAGCATCTTGTCTTCCTGATCTTAGAGGGAAAGCTTTCAACATCACATATGGTGTTCTTGCCAAAAATGCATAACCTCAATGAAACTTATATCCTGCAACTATACTAAATTTATTTATTAATTCTAACATTTTGGGGGGTGGAGTATCTAGGGTTTCCTATATGAACAATCATGTCGTTTGCATTCTTTTTCTTGCTTAAATGTTCTCACTGGGACCTATAAAACTATGTTGAATAAAATGGTGAGAGTGAGCATCTTGTCTTCCTGATCTTAGAGGGAAAGCTTTCAACATCACATATGGTGTCACTGCCAAAAATGCATAACCTCAATGAAACTGAAAAAACAACAGACAAATCCAAACTGAGAGTGATTATACAAAATACCTGTCTCAGAAAATGTGTCACCGTCTTGATGTGTATGGAAAGACTGATAAAGGATCACAGATTAGAAAAGATTAATATTGAAGAACATAACACAAGGAAGCACAACTCCTATATGCCAGGTGAGATTTTGAATTGAGTCATGGAACAGGAAAAAAAAAAAAAACAACACTAGGAAATGTTGTAAAATTGAAATAAGGGCTGTAGTATTGTTAAGAACATTGGACAAATAATAATTTTCTAACTTTGATAATGATACTAATTCTGTGAAATAACACCATCAGAAGAGGCTTGCTGGTATATGGCATATGTGAACTCTATATTATTTTTACAACTTTCCTGTAGTTTTAATATTATTTGAATAAATAAACATTTATAAAGACAGGGAGTTTTATTATTCTGAAGCTGAAGAATAAAAAGTAAGCTGGAGGAAGATTTAACAATATTTTGTTAGTAGAAGAGAAACACATACACACGATATCAATATACTTTATAAATCCCTAATATGCAAAGTATCCCCTTGGGAGTTTTACCAACTGGGAGTTCCATCACTTGCTATGACATGTGCTGACCACCAGGGGACAGTGCAGAACAAAGGAAGGCTGAGGCAGGTGGCCGGCAGGTGCTAGGGACCCTTCCATGCATTAATTTCATCACTGGGCCTCTAGTATATACTAATAATAGCCTAGGGCCGTCACGACTGGATGGACGACCGAACACCTGGGTCCCGGCTATAGGAGTCACTCCTGGGTCCCAGCAGCGATGGCTGCGGAAGTCAGGCCTGGGTCCCGGCGGCAGTGGGAGTCAGGTCTGGGTCCATCACCAGTTAGAAGGCATCTCAGGATGAGGACCATAACCTGAGCCAGAACTCAAGATGGTCACCTGGCCTGGCCTGGCCCCTCCTCAGAGGCAGCCCCTTTCCTCCATGTATACTGCAGAGGACAGACAGGGATGCATAAAAGGCTGGGGCCATGGTGCCCCATCCCTACCCTACTCCCCTGGCCTCCTTCACCTGTGGCCCCCACAGAAGGGTATGTATGAGAGCCCTTCCCCTGCTACCTCTCACCACTGTCTCTGGCCATCCCTCAGCACCCAGGCATATCGGCTTTCAAACTTGCCCTACTCACTTCCTCTCACCCCCTTATAGGGACTCTGCTCTGGATGGGGCCTTTGGAATCCAGGGCTCTGGGGTTTTACAACAGAGCTGGGGTGGGAAAGGGTAAACAGCACCAAAGATGGCTGATATGGCCACCCACCTCTGCCTCAGCTTGACTGATTAGTTCAGCCTCAGAACGTGGTACTCAGAGGGGATCCCTATTTCCCCAGCAATGGCTCTAGGGCCTCGGCCCCAGTACCAAACTCCTCTCCCCCTTGGCCCTCCCTACAGCTGGTGTTTGCTGCAGCTCCGTGTGCCTTAGTTAACCACCCCTTCCTTCCCTGTTCCTACAAAGAAGGCTGCATCTTTGTGTGTTATGTTCATATAAACTTTGTAACGTTTTGGGGAAAAAAACACACAAAAACAAAACAATGACCAAGAGAATGTCGCAGTCAATGTCTGGAGTCCGGCTCAGGAGAATGGAGAGAAGGGAGAATTCCATAAGTTGGCTGATACCAAGATATTTCTGAGTGACTGCTTGGTGTATGACAGTTGTGTGACCGCAGAGGAAGGAATCCAAGTTTCTCTGCAGAACACCAAGGACTTCTTCCATGTTCTGAACCTTTGCTTTGGTTTTCAGAATTCCCTGCTCCCCATCTCTTGGCTCCCTCCCTCTGAGGGCCGTCACATGGGTGCAACTGGACTGTTGTATCTCAAGAGGATTGCCCCAATGTATGTATCCTTTTATCCGAAGATGAAAAAATCCCAAAGAATAAGAATGGAGACAGACAACTTGTCCTTTAGGCTTAAAAATAGAGACCCAGACTGCGAGAGGGTGCAGGCCGGGCTGAGGGATTCCCCCCCGCGCCCCAGTGCATGAAATTGAAATAAGGGCTGTAGTATTGTTAATAATAAATAATAGGCTATGTCTACATTTCCTTGGGTATATGAAAAAATTTGGTTTGGGAATGTGACAAAAATGTGGAAGTAATGTCATCCTATACAATAAAGAGGTGATATGCAAATTGACCATCATGCTCATGCCTGGAAGTGACCTGCAAAGAGCTGAGAATTGGTTCTGTCCATGTGCCTCAGAGAGATTGGATGAGGAAACAGCCCAGTTTGGCCCTGACTTTACCCACTTATGTTACCCTTGAAGGTGTCTTTGCCACAATGTGAATAAACTGCTGCCTTTTCTAATAGGGGCTCACACGAAAGCCTGCATTCCCAACTTTACTTGAAACAGATCTATATTCTGTAGCTGTGGCCACCGTCCTAAGATCAGGTCTTGTCGACCAGGTCCTGTTGCTGGGAATCAGGGGGCACTGGAGTGGAGCCCCTGCCCCTCCGTGCCCTTTTACATTCAGAGATTGAGCTGAACTCACTTTGGGGGAAGCCTGGCAAGGGTGACAGGTGTCACAGAAGGAAGGATGGAGAATGGAGAGGCAGACACCCTGCTCAGTCCCTCCCTGGGTGAGGTCAGGCAGATGAAGGCCGGCCAGCCCGCCCCACAATTGGGTGAGAT